TATATATATATATATATATGAGAGATTTCCACCGATAATTGACTCATCACGATATCTCTGGAACCATAAGGCGTAGAGACTTGAAAAAATTGGCGTAGTGGATAATAACCTATCTCTTGCGCCAGAGGGTGTGGGCTCGATCCCCACTATTGGAAAAATATTGTGTGACATGCATAGTCTTTTTCTAGTTTCTGGGTGTTTACATATCTATAATACTTTTTTATTTACAAAAGAAAAGTAAAAAAAAAAAAGTAAAGTAACAGCCCACTGCGGATTGGCGGTCTTCACATATCTTCGAAATATATTTTTTTTTGTTATTATTTCGAAAATACGCAAGTTTTCTCACGATTTTTTCCTTCGCCGCGGAGCACGTGATAAGTCAGCACTTAAAGTTCAAAACTTCATTGGTGCCGGCATCGGGAATCGAACTCAGGTTGTCAGGTTGAACGAATCGGACACTGAGCTATCACGGCTCTCTAGTAAGAAAAGTATGTTTAAGTTATTACCCATGGGTAATAAATTATCAATTATTACCCATAGTTCGTTTGTAAAATATGTCAAACAAAAAAAAATCGAAACACAGGCTGGCCCACACTCTACCTAGACATCTATACTATCTAGCAGCTGTGGGACCTGAAGAGACATCTGCGAGCCACGAATCAATTGCCGAACGTTATTGAGTTGGAGGCGGCGTTGATAGATGGGATGGTATTTTCTTTAAGTCCCCTGTACACATTGGTCAAACGCATTGGGCCAAAGCGTTTGCGTTCACAGTGTGTAGCTGTTCACATATTTACCTACTGCTCATTGTAACGCGCCGAGATCCTTTGATGTGCGCTCAAAAAACCAACACAATTCGGATTGCCGGCCAACGTTCGCGCCAACTACGATTTGTCACAAACGTGCGCAAAATAGCCCTCTACCCATTGGTCCAATGCATTGGCCCAATGCGTTGGCCCTTACGGGAATACCCAATAAAATACAAGGATTTCAATTCTCTGAATTGACCAGAATGATCTTCTTTATGATCAGAATGATCAATTCAAAGAGTTTAAACATCCTTTTGGCAACTAAAATGAAATTTGAAATTCATTTGACAGCTGATTAGTTGACGTCTACGATGATCAGTGTTTCAGAAACTGGGCGTCAGTGTTTCAGAAACCAGGCGTGAATGTTACGAAATGAAAACGTATTTTTGTCCGAATACACTTTAATTGTCCTCCAGGCAAGAGGGAGATACAATCAAGATCGATTTCTGTACAGACCGAGATAATAATTTTTAATTAAAAAAACAGACTTCAAACAGTAAACTAAAAAACATTGTTAGGATTGTTAATACTTATAACATTTGAAGATTGCCCTCGGTTTTTCTGGGATGCCATCATCAGATTCGGGTTTCCTTATCATAGTACCACCCTTGGGATATCTCCTTTCCAACAAAAAAGAATCATCAAAATCGGTACATAAACGACGAAGTTATCCGCGAACACACATAAAAAAAATATATATATATATATACGGTCGAATTGAGAAACCTTCTGTTTTTGAAGTCGGTTAATAACAGGAAAAAAAAACAATTTAAAACGCAGACGCCTTTCTTAGCATATTATATACGCTTTATATCATTTTCCCATATGAATAAAACTGTTTTGCAACAAAGTTATTGGTTTCGTATTATCGTGGGAAAAACTGAACGATTGAAAACACGGCTTGTTTCCAAAACAATTTTAGCGTGCCTCAATATCTAACAATTACTTCCTATTTCCTCAGGGCGGTACATCTTGAAAAAATTATTACAAAATTGTGTGGTTCCACGAAAAGAATTTATTAAAAGTAGCAAACTAATAGGTCCTAAACGTATAAATACTTCTTGCAATCAGATTAAAAAGCAACTTAACAACGATTTTTTTTTTTAAATATGACTAGGTAATATATTTTTGTAAATTTTATAATAATTGTCATAGTAAACTCTACGTACGTTATTCTTATTTATACGCTTTATATATACTTTTATTTTGATCTAATTTTGGAAACGTATTTGGCCTTCTGTATTTGTTATCCTGTACTGTACATATGTGCTAGCTATTAGTTTCCGTAAAATTGCAAAATAAAATAAACAAAATACATCTCCTGAATATACAACCCGTGGGGTTAGTTGTGCTGCCGATCTTGTATCTTGTATTAACTGATGTTTGTGCTTTCAGTCCCGAGACTATTAAAGCTTATCTGTCGCAGAACCGGTGGGCTAGCCAGAACCCACGGGTTTGGGCCCTCCGCTGTGGGTAGGGCCACGCATGTGCTCATGCGTGCGTTTAAGCATGGTGTGTCATCTAAGGGCCATCGAGGTCGCGGTTCGGACCGAAACCCCGATGGCCTTCGACTGTGGAATTAGCTAATCGGTGGCTGGAAGCGGTGAGAACCGCCCCGGAACGCGGGTGTACCTTGTGTACGCGTTGTGTTGGTCTCGCCGTGCTCGGAGGCGAGGGCGAACTAGTATGTTTGTTATTGCACTGACTGTGGGTGTGCTGCCGACTTCTAAGGTATGTGGGGTGTTGTTACCTCACTCACCAGACGCCATGCGAAAGTGTAAATACATGTATCGGTATGCTTTGAGGTGTGGTCTTCTGCAATGTGCAGCAGCGGCATCCGTTGCTCAATGATGACTCCGTGGCGCAGTTGCCAAGGTAATGACTTCGGCGTCGGGGGTCGTGGGTTCGATCCCCACACCGGACAACTATTTGTGTGACCCACAGATAGTTGTTTCGCATCTGGGTGTTTGTCCATGTGAAATTTATGTTTGTAAAACGTCCTTATAAGACAGGATAATGTTTCTCCTAAAGTAAGGGCAATGTTTAAAAAAAAAAAGGAAATAAATCCATACCAAAGTAGTAAGGAAGCAAAAAGATAGCTTCAATAACATGTGACATATTTCAGTGCAGAATTTCTCGCGGCATGTAATAAAGCCAACACTTACGTTACGTTATTATTAACATGAGCGTAGTAAAAGTAAAGTAACGGCCTATACATGTCCCACTGCTGGGCAAAGCACCCGCTAAAGTCCACCAATCCCCACTGGAGATCGGTGAACTTCACATGCCTTGAAAATATATTTTTTTTAATTATTATTTCGAAAATATGCAGGTTTACTGAGTATTTTCGAAATAATCATTTTTCAGACGGCCTTCTCTTGCGTCGAACATGATTGAAAAATTCACATCGGTCTCTCGTTTCGGCAGAAAGATTAGATGAATTTTTTTATCGTGCTAGAAATCGAGCACCACTCGAGCGAATTGTTGACCAATAACTCGTGGATTTCGTAACGTTAAGATGTCTCAACGTTGGCAACTTAGAAATACTCTAAGATACATCGTGTATTTCTATTATATTAAAAAAAACCTACGATTATAATAATTTCTTGTACTTACGCGATTACACATTATAAATGAAACTAATTTTACGGATTTATCGCGTTTATTTTTAATTTTAATTCCCGACGTTTCGAACCCTTTACAGCGTTCATGGTCCCGGGACAGACTGAGGTGTTAGACATCTGATTGTCATAGTTAACCCGGGCTATCATCAGTTTTTGAATTAAAAAATTAAAAATAAACGCGGTAAATCCGTAAAATTAGTTTCATTTATAATCTACGATTATAACTATTTTCATTGAACATAATATTCAAAGCATGGAAAGTCATTCGCCGATGTGGGCATCGAACCCATGTATTCGGTATTCGGGCCCAGCTTTTACCACTACACTTTTTGTACACATTTTGATGTTTCATCTTACATATTATAAACATTTGAACATTCAAATATAATCTATTAGGTATATTAATTCAAAATTTATGTGTATTGTTGTAAGTTTATATTTTTATTAGTGTAGGGGAGTTCAAAATTCAATACTGGGAGCCATGAGCATCCCTTTTATAAAGGGATAGGTTCAAAATACACCTAAACAGCGTGGAATTTCAACAGTTTTAGCGTTCTCCAACCAATCCGTAAGAAGCAAGAGATGTCAGTATGATGTCAATGCACTTGTTTCATTTTGTCATTGAAGACTTTATATTTTGTGGGAGTAATAGCTTTCACAATAATACCCAAAAATATAAAACATCACAAAATAATGTTTACTACACCTGCACCTAATAGTAATATTTCCTTCATAAGATGTATTATGTCTGTATTTTATTTACTTTGTGTCCACTAACATATTTAACTGATTTTTTTTTTTCAATAGTAACTTTGTATATCTATTTAGTTGTTTCTGTAATTAATACCCTCACTTCATTTAAATCCTCTTGTGATTTTAATTTTCTACGTCATTTAGATATATCATTAAACTTCTAGACTAAGACACATTTGAATTATTTAAGTCTGATATTGTTGGGGGTGTTATTAAAGAACTTAAAAATCTGTAGCTCAGGATACAATCAATAAAATAACATTTTAAATAACATAAACCAAGACATGAAAACAAAGGAAACTATTTTACTGATTCTCCCCTATTTATGTTCAGTGTAAGTCTTAAATAAATTAAACTTTTTATTCAAATATTCTGTATGTATGAAGTCTGTATTTTTACTGATATTATAGTAATACTTAAGTTTGGAAGAATAAAACATATTTCAATTAACATTTGAACTTAAAATGTTATTGTATAAAAGTTATTGCAGAATACTATTTAATTAATGCTCTTTATTTACTTTATTATAAAACGAATAAATTTATTTGTGCTCAATATGTTTCACGTTTAACAGTTGATTATAAAAATATTGTCGTCATTCTAATAATAACAATTGACGATTCAGTCATCACTGGCAGCTAAGCTTTTTGGGCGATGCGATATTTCCTTTGTTTCGTGAGATCAAAATAAGTAATATTCTCAAATCATATCATAATATAAAAAAAAATAAAAATAAAATAAAAGAAAGCGTAGCAAAAACAGCGGTACAGTTTAATATAAATAAGGCGCATTTTAAAATTTTTATTGTACTTACCCCCGTCCTTAAAAGTGGCAGTTTTATCGATCGGAATGATGAGCAAAGGCAATATTCCACTTAATCCCACTAGTATTGATGCGAGGGCTGAGAACAGCCAAGGGTGTTCGTCTAATTCATCCAGGAAGTTGTAAAAATATTCTGGAATAAATCCCGCCATAACTGATTCACCGGAGACTTCCATTTCAAATGTTTTATAGAAACTAAAAAACACTTGTTTAGAAATTAAGATCTAGACTGAAAGCACGAGCTCACGCCGGCGTCTGTTTAATACTAAACTTCACTCATATTTACAAAAGATGAAAAGATGCTGTACAGACGAACTAATCTGCACTGAGATTGAGTACGCCCGATCGAGGTCTTATCTCCACAGATTAGTGATAATATTATTTTGGTCCTTGTACAAAGTGGAAATATAATATGAATCACACACAATAGAATTAATTCATTTTTACGCAAGTTAAATAAAACGAAGTATGAAATTGGACAAACGTCGAACCACAAAAACAACGCAGTTTTATGCTACCGGAATAGAACAAGTTCCTCGATTGATAACATTATACAACAGAATGAATGAGAGTGAAATGAATGAATCAAACATTGACGTTTGTTTTGTTGTTGTGAAGTTCGAATGATGTTGCCAACTGCTAAAAAGAAATGGCCCTAAAACCAAGATGAAATAGCCCTAAATAACCCTAAATACAATTTTTAAAAGCCCCAAAAAAGCCATTCAATTCAAAGATATTGTTTAAATGAGTTGTACGTTTTTTAAAGAAAAAAATATAACTTAATTTTTTAATTACTTTTCATTACATATAGTTGAAATAATAAACAAACACAATATTAACAAACATTTCATTAATTACATTAATTAATATACATTTTGCTTTTATTTAATCACTTTGGTCAATGAAAATATTGATTAATGAAATATTATTCATGGCCCTGAGATAACCCTAAACTTATTTGGACCCTTAAAAAGCCCAATCCGCGTATTTCTGCTTTAAATTTGGGGCTAAAAGCCTTAAGTTGGCAACACTGCGGAATGAACGATATAAAGATATGTCAAAGAAATAAATTGACAGTTTATAATGTTGCCACTACTCTTTCATTGTTCTAAATTTCAACGCTGCTTCGTCTCTATTTAATTTTATAAAGTGATTGAAACATAGATGCACATATTGATATTACTACAGACTTACTACAGATTATGTTATACGTTACAAAATCACCGATGAAAAGTGTTCGAAGCAGTCAAGCAACATTTTTGCTTGTCACTTTAGAATCAGTTTGAGTTTATAATAAAAAACAGTTACCGAACCGACACACCTTTTAAGAAATTCAATTTATTCATCAACCGACTTCATAAAGGAGGAAGTTCTGAATTCAACGGTATATAGTACATGTTTGTTACCTCAGAACTAAATTTGTTAATTGTTACTTTCGTCTGAGTGAACCGATTTTGATGATTCTTTTTTTTACAAAGAGAATATAACCACTAAGTTTTGTTTTTTTTATTTGAAAGCTGATGCTTCTCATGTGGTCCCATATTAATTTCATTGGTACTGGATCTTTGAGTACGGAAATACTTAGAACTCCTGAAAATCAATTATAAAATAAACACAGAGCGAGATATTTGAAGGTTTAGGAAGGAAGGATAAAAAAATCGACTAGTTTTTTCTCTTATAAAGCTTTTTTATGTTAGGAGTTTGAGAATATTTTTAAGATTTAAAGAGTGGAATGGCGATGAATTGTTGCGTATTTGGCAATTATAGTTTCTATTAGATTAGGGGCGAGAATTAAAAGCGAGTGCCTGTTGCATTGAGTGTTCACAAAGTGAGCCAAATGTGTTTGAATTTAAAAAGTTTTAACATTTTAATATCTCATTCTGTTACAATCAATTCTTTAATTACTTTCGATTGCAGTCCACTATTTAAGTCAAAACTCGTTATAGTAAGAAACCTTAATGAAAAAAAGAAGTTAATAAATAATTACATTAGCACTCGTTACGTTTAAGTAAAAAATTTAATTTTTATGAATTTGAAACGTTTTATAAGAGTAACTTTTGAAGTTATTTTATTTCAAATACTAATTAATATATAAAACAATAACGAAACCGTGGAGTAAAAATGACTTTACTGCCTACGACATTCATATCTGGACTTCTTGAATTTATGTCCGGTGGTGCATCCGTTTTTCTTGTCCCCATATTAAATTTATCTACTGTTTTTTATTCTTCTAACCTTCACAGATTCAAATATGAGGAAAGAAAATACCAAAAAATATAATTGTTAAAAAATTGAACTGGTAAAGCTTCTGGGCAAGAAACCAGAAGCCGCAGAATCGAACCCCGCAGCATCGAATTTTTTTTATTAATTTGTCTAGAAAAAAATATAATTTAAAGTTTCATCTTGAGTGCAGATACTAGCACTAAAAGTAAAAATTGGTCCCTTACGACTTTTATTACAGAGGCACAGAACCATCATTATTTATTTGTAATCAAAAAAGAAATCAAACAAAAAACAATACTTTACAAAGGTGACACCGGCGATCCGTAATGTTTTTTAAATCGGGCATATTATTTCTGCAGATGTTTTTAATGAAACAAAGTTTAACAAATAGATATTTGCAGATAAGAACCGGCCTCGCACACGAAGGGTTCCGTTCCAATATTAGGGTTACGTACCCAAAGGGTAAAACGGGACCCTATTACTAAGACTCCGCTGTCTGTCTGTCCGTCTGTCACCAGACTGTATTTCATGAGCATATAGATAGATAGAATAAATTTTCACGTTGATGACTTGATGTTTTTCGGTTGCCGCTATAACATCATAAACTAAAAAAACGAATAAAAATATTTAAGTGGGACTCATACAACAGACCTAATTTTATTGCCTTTTACCTTGCGTTTAACCAAAATTGACAATTCTGTGTCAACCGGAAGGACGCAAAGGTTTTGGGTTTAAAACCTATATGGTATTTCCCGTTGACCTATAATCACAAAATTTGGCAAAAAGCAAGCTTACAGCATAAATAAAGTAAAAATTCCGAGAAATAAAAAAGTTGAAAATTAGGTTAAATTTTGGTACTTACAAGTGTTCGCGAAAATGTAAATTGGACCATGATTTTTATACACCTATTTGATATAATTTTCAATTAGCTAGGTTCACTTGTTCCTGATAAAATCGGTAGTGATTATTTACCAATTTTATTATGGCGGCGTCATGGGTAGATACGGCTGTTTAGGATAAGTAAATGTAACTATAAATATTTAAACAAGACATACAAAAGTTACCGACATTGCGCGCAGAATTAGCACGCTGAAGTGGAAGTGTGCTGGCCACGTCTCCAAAAGTACTTATGTTCGCTGGAGCCGACACGTGTTAGAGTGGACACCACGATTAGGAACACGTAGTGTGGGACGGCCTGCAGCACGATGGACTGACGACTTAAGAAAGGTAGCGGGCAGTGGATGGATGTGCATCATGTCATCACATGACTGGGATAGTTGGCGCACTTTGGGGGAGGCTTACGTTCAGCAGTGGACGGCGATAGAATGATATTGATACAAGCAGCCCTTAAGATCGAGTACGTAAGAGGTTTTGAGTCGAAAAGTTAACCCTTCATACCTCGTTTGTTTGCACAGTTTGTTTCCTTCATAATTGCCTTCCCTCGACGGGAACATTCATCTGTTCATTAAAAAACAGATCTGCAACTCAATAAAAACATGTTAACGCCGAGTGTTTGTAGTACACGGGGCACGAGAAAACAACCTCGTGCCGTTATTACCTGTGCGTGATAATTTCTAATAATTAGAGGAATTAGAATTACTTATATTATATATATACTAGCTGCTGCCCGCGACTACGTCTGCGTAGAGGGGTGAAAATTTAGGGTTGTATGTATTTTTGTATGCTGTGTCATAAAAAAATAGAAACAAAAAGTTTTATATAAAAAATAAAAATAAAATTTAGCGGTTGGACTACCCCCTTAACATTTAGGGGGTCGAAAAATAGATAGTAGCCGATTCTCAGACCTACTGAATACGCATATAAAATTTGGTAAAAATCGGTCGAGCTGTTTCGGAGGAGTTCAAGTTCGAACCCCGTGACACGATAATTTTATATATTAGATATTATTATTATTATATATATATATTTATTATATATATTATTTGCCTTTCTTTGGCGCGTCTAGTGTATATTCTTAGATAATTAAATTCTCTTTATTTTCTACTAGCGGCCCTCCTCAGCATCGCACGGGTGTTGTATTGTATAACATAACTATAAACCTTCCACGTGAATCACTTTATCTAGTAAAAAAACCGTATCAAGCTCCTTGCGTAGTTTTAAAGATCTAAAGATCTAATACATATGCATAGGGATAGACAGACAGCGGGACTTTGTTTTATACTATGTAGTGAAGACCTATTTACTTACAGAAAAACAGTTTTCTTTGTTTGTCGTGTCATCTGAAGGGGTCGTTGATCTTTGTCGATACTTTGTCCATGCATTCAATTAGTTTTTAACCCTCTTCAAAAAAGGAGCAAGTTCTCAATTTTACTGTAATTTTTTTATGTTTTAATGATCCTTTTTTTATTTGAAAGGTGCTTCCCATGTGGTCCCATATTAATTTCGTTTGTATTGGATCTTGGGCTCCGGAAATAATTAGGGAACTCCTGAAAATCAATTATAAAATGAATACACAACGAGATATTTGAAGTCACTTTTGTTATTTTCATTAATCCTTTTTAAACTTAATTTTATATTATGTGAAATATGAAAAAGTCTCAAGAATTTTATTTAATGCTTCGCTTGGGAGAAAAAGCTTCGGCAGTGAATGCAGGAATTCTTTTGGAATGGTCTAAGCATCTAAGTATACATATTGTTGATAAATAAATGGTTTACGAGGTATTAGTTTATCATAAAGAGTTTTGAATTTGGTTTATAATTTCTCTTTGGTTCATAATAATATAATTTCTGCGACATTTTAATTGGTTTACGAATCATTCGCAATTATGTATAAGCGTTCGCTGTTAGGAGACACGTGTGCCAGTCGACCGGTACATCTGTCTGTCTGCCGCCGTGACACGATTGCATTACGAATCTTCTTGGCAGGCGAACAGTTTCGGCCCAGTTGAAGCGAAATGCCGTACTTATTTTGGCCTGCCAATTTAAATATCCC